TTTTTGGTGTTGTTGCTGGTTTCTTTGGTCCATTCTGTTTTCTGTGGCATGTCTGTATGAAGGTCTTCCATCAGTACTTCCTGCAACAATGATCTTGTTTTTACAAACTCTCTAAGGTTCTGCTTTTCTGATAATATCTTGATCTCTCCTCCATATTTGATGCATAGTTTTACTGGATACAGTATTCTTGGTTGACAGTTACATTCTTTCTTTGAGTGTTTGATAGATATTATTCCACTGTTTTCTTGCTCTTATAGCTTCTGCTGGGAAATTGGCATATAATTTTATTTTCTCTCCCTTATAGGTTACTCTTCATTTCTCCCTAGCTGCTTTCAGCATTCCCTCCTTATTTTTGGTTCTGGCAAATTTTACTATGAAAATCCTTGGTGATTTTCTTTTTTTGGTGGGGGGTCTAGTTTATATGGTATTCGCACCAGTTCTTGAATATATATTCTCTCATTGTTCATTATTCCAGGAAATTTTTCTTCTAGTTATTCTTCCACAACTTTCTTGGTACCTTTATTTCCTCTTCTTGTTCTGGGATACCAATTATGCACTTGCTAATTCTCTTGATGGTATCCTGCATTATTCTTAGGGTCTCTACTTTTTCTTTCCTTTTTGATTCTGTCTTTCATTCTAGCAGATTGTTGTTGTTGTTGCTGTTGTTATGTGCCGTCGAGTCGCTTGTGACTCATAGCGACCCTATGTACAACAGCCCTAAACTCCGCTCTGTCCTGTGCCATTCGCACTGTCTCTGACACTCCCATCCCGATTACCCCAGTCACTCAATTAATCCACCTCATAGAGGGCCTTCCCCTCCTGCGCTGTCCCTCCACCCTCCCAAGCATGATGTCCTTCTGCAAGGACCAGTCTCTCCTCACAATATGTCCAAAGTATGTTAGACAGAACCTCAGAATCCTTGCCTCCAAGGAGCCACCCGGTTTAACCCTTTCCAGGACAAATCTGTTTGTTTTCCTAGCAGTCCATGGTATTCTCAATAC